AGTATACAAAGAAATTGAGATTAATGAAATTTTCACACTTTAAATATTAAAAACAAAGGAACACACACAAAAAAATCAAGACATTAATGCCAATCCCCTACTGCCACTGAATTTTTTATAAGTTGAAATGTGAAGTGAACTTTAAAGACTTAACAGCACAGGGAAGTTGACAACTCTTACGTAGAATAAAGATTCTATGATAAATGAAATCACTGAATGCAAACAAACATCCTATAAAATCAACTAAATTCTTTTTACTTTGAAGGCCCTGCTAGAGACTTGTTGCTGCTCTAATTCATGGCCTTGAGAGGCAAAACTAAAAAAGCTGTTGCTAGCTTCAGGTGCTGTAGGAGAACCCACAAAAAATGGTCTAAACTGAAAATCTCCATCTCCACCACCCTGATTTCGAACTGGTGTATTGTCCAAAGGAAACTTGGAGCTGTTACCTAGAAAAAAAATTAGGGAGATAATAAGCATCTATTTCCTCATAGATCCTTAGCAACAAAAAACCAAAATCCATTCAATAAATACTGTAACAAAACTCACCCAAGATGGATAAAATACAAACATAATACTAGATTTAAAAAAGGACCCTAATGTCCCCACCTCTCCCTCCCCATGACTAAAGTTATCTACAATACCTTCTGTGATGCAGTTTCCATTGATAGCCATAATTTCATTGCCAAAGTTATCTGACACAATGAAACATTTTTAGTAGTAATAGAATTCACAACATCATAATTTTATTAATTTGTTATCCATTTCAGAGGAATCATCAAAAATACATATATGCACATGATCCTTTGTGCCATGTTTTTCAATAATTTTTTTTTTTCTATTTAGAACTGGGGATTGAACCCAGGGCTTCATACATACTAGTCAAGCACTCCACCACTGAGCTATATCCCCAGTCCTATTTTATTTTATTTTATGCTTTTTTATTTTGAGTCAGGGTCTCATTAAGTTGCCCAGGATGGCCTCAAACATGGAATATTCCTGCCTTGGTCTCCATCATACCTGGGATTACAGGTGTGTGTCACCATACCAGAAGAAATTTTAAAATATATACATATATATTTTTTTTTGTAATACACACTCCAGAAATATACGACAACCATGAAATATTGCCATATACCCATGACTCAATAACAATTAGCATAACTTTACAGAAAATCAGGTAATAGATGTGATCAAATGAACATTTAACTACTTCTGCTGGGCACTTCCTTAGATTTTTAGTTTTCTTAGACTATAAAAAGGAAAATGCTGACTGTATATAAAAAGCTAAAAAAGAAAGAGGTAAAAAGGTAAGTACATACAATGAGAAGAACAGAAAGAACAGATAAATATGAAAGAAATCAAAATATATGTGGACAGTGACAGGAAAATAATACCTACAATATCCACTTACAGAAATACTTTGGTTGACTAAATTACAATATAAGTAAGTGAAAGTTAGGTACTTGTTAGGCAGGGTACCTAACAAAAAGTTGGTATCATCCTAGATTGTGAAGGCAGTATTACTATCTGGACAATCTTTATATCTCATTGTTTAGAGAGATATAAAGATGCATAACACAATGACACATGAAACACTGGATAAACATTTGATGAGAAGATAAAAAGGTAAATTTAAAAAAGAACCAAACAACAGACAATAATTTGAGAACTGTGTGACCAGTATTGACATGTGAAAGAAACTAAAACAAGGTCTTCCTGGAGGATGCAAACAGTTAAGAGTATAGGCTATGTGATCTTGACCAAGTTAATTAACTTTCTGTTCCTCAGCTTTCTCCTTTCTCACTTACAAACCAGGGATAAAAAACAGTATTTATTTCACATAGGTTTCTAAATTATATGAATACATGTAAGACACTTAAAACGGTACTTAGCACTTAGTAAGAAATCAATAAGTGGCAGCTATTATTTATTACTGTAAGTAATTTTTAATTTACATTGTAATCTGCAAACTTATATCTTGAAATATATTAAAGGCATACTATGAACGTAAGCAAATATAATAGGTAAAAAAATGATGTGAAGTTGAGATACAGATGAAAGATTCATAACCCATCATGGCTCTAGACCCTTGGAGCCTTCACTCACAGCATGGAACTACACAGAGTACAGTGAGAAAAATCCTTGATTTGAAAAACAGATATTGGATAGTTTTCTTAGACTATAAAGAAGAAAATGCTGACCGTATGTAAAAAGCTAAATAAGAAAGAGTAAAAGGGTAAGTACGTACAATGAGAAGAACAGAAAGAACAGATAAATATGAAAGAAATCAAAATACATGTGGACAGTGACAGGCATATGCCTGTAATCCCAGCTACTTGGGAGGCTGAGGCAGAAGAACCACAAATTCAAGGCCAGCCTGGGCAATTTAGTAAAACCATCTCTCAAAATAAAATAGATGTAGCTCAGTGGTAGTAACTTAGAAACTTGCCTAGCATGTGAGGCCATAGGTTCAATCCCCAGTACTACAAATA